AAAAGTCTAAAGGAAAAAGAATAGCCTATTTTTTAAAAAAGTAATACACACTAAAGTATTTAAGGGAGCACAGAGGCATGGTGTCTGCACATTGTTCACAAAAACCATGCCCTCAAATGTATCCGGACCAGCATTTTCAGAGAGAGACCAGGCTGACGGACAGCCTCCACCTCCAGGGCGATTCTCTGCCTTGCAGGGCCTCGCGGGTGGAGTGGACTCTGGCTCTGTCTCCGTCTCTGCATAGCTAGCCGCTTCTCTTCAGAGAGCGAATGAGAGTGCTAACTGTGACATTGGTCTTGAAACCTGGCAACACTAAGAGCCAGGGGAGCTGGCCACGGCTGGGGCGTCGGGCGGGAAGGGGCTCACACAGATGGCGTTGATGTCCGACTCGTGGCCCGTGAAGGTCTGACGGCAGGTCCCCTCCCGCACGTCCCAGAGCTTGGCGCTGGCGTCACAAGCCCCCGAGATGACGAGTTTGAAGTCGGGAGAAACGGCCAGGCTCATGCAGTCACCCGTGTGGCCCACAAACACCGTCTTCTGCTGCCCCGTCTCTATATCCCACAGCGCACTGCGGGAGGGAGGAGAGGCACCGTCCCTGAGAAAGGCCACTTTGCACCCGGGCCAGGGCTGGCCCCCACTCACCCAGAGCATGGGTCCTCACCACGTGGTGTCCCCGGAGCTGGTCACGATGTTGTTGTCGTCCAGGAACCGGCAGCAGGAGAGGTAACCTGGTGGCAGTGTTTGCAAGGACAGAGTCACCATCTGCCAGGGGCCTGAGGTCCCGGGACTTTGGGATGGAGAGGGTCCACTCACCTGTGTGCGCGGAGAGCTCCCGGCTGACCTTGACGCTGCCCTCCCGGGATCGGAGGCTATAGATGGAGCACATGTTGTCCAGTCCCCCGCATGCCACAAAGTTCCCCGAGGGGGCGTAGGCACAGGTCATGACCCAGGAGGAGCGCAGTGGGATGGCGTGCACCTGCGGCAGGGTGGGTTTGAGCAGAGGAGCCCCTGGCTGAGCTGGCAGCCGGTACCCCAGCAAGGTGGTCAGGGAGCCAGGCTGGTACCTTATTGGTGGTGTAGGTGTCCCATACGATCAGCTTCCCGTCCTGCGAGGCGCTTACCAGCAGCCTGGGAGAGGGAGCCGTGTCACCCAGCGTCTCCTGCCTGCCTGCTTCCCCCTCCCCACCCCCGGCCTCTCAAGCCTCACTTGGAGTCAGTGGCCCAATGCATGGCATAGATCTTGGCCAGGTGCCCCCTTAGTGTCCGCCTCGTCCGCATCTGGACTCGCCCCACGACCTCCAGGCCAGACACCAACTGTGGAGAAAGGGGCATTGGAGGTCAGTGGGCAGGGGACATGGCAGGACCTGTGTTACAGCCGTAGACTAGTATATGCTGGTTTTGCTCCTGGTCATCCCCACCCCATCCCCCACCCCCTGCCTTAGAGAAATGAGTCTTCTTGGTCCCGTTGGGGGAGAGAGGCCCCAGCACCAGTGGTGGGCACGTAAGGGCTGAACAATGGCTCGAGCAGGGGCTGGGGGAGAGCGAGGGCTGTTTGGTAGGTGGTCTTCCTGATGGAAGACTCCCGCTTGGCCCACCTCGCTAAACACAGACTTGGGCTCAACACTGCAGTGTGGCCAGCTCTGTCACTGGGCACCCCCGGGGCACCATGACTCTAGCTGGAACCTCTTGGTACCTGAGCTGCCCTGAAAACTCTGACCAGCTTTTAGACTTAGACAAGGGTTTCCGAATCCACAATTGACTTGCCATTGACTTGCTTTGTGCTCTTGGGCAAGTTTCTTGCCTTCCCCACGTGCAAAATAAAGCCTTATCCCAGGGTTGTGAAAATGAAAAGCGATTTAGCCCAGTGTCTGGCTCAAGGGCCGTGGTCTGGGTTACCACTAACTGAGACATGCCATGATTTTACATAGAACAAAGAAAGGAGAGGGGGTGCTGTCAGCTCTCCCCTGAAGGCATCATCCTTGGTTAGACACCTCTCAGATGTCAGAATGTGGAGAAACCGCGTGTCTGAATTGATGAACTAGCACATTGAGCAACTGTTGGCGCTAATGTCTCCAGGGCTTTTCCATTTACAAAGTCCCTTCATCCTCCGACCCTGCCTGGGAGGTGGAGGACCAGGAGAGACAACGTCTGCATCCTGGTATCTTTAGCCTCTAACACAGCGCCCAACTGAGTCGCTCTCTAACCAGATGTTGCTGCATGAATTCACCAGCCGCCCGGGCTCAGCCTGAGGACATGCTGTCCCTCGTGTTCAGTACCTGCTTGGGGCCGGTCAGGGCATTCCCAGCCTCACCCCTCACGCCCTGCCCTCCGGGGGACAGGAGGGCTCACCTCTGCCAGCGTGCTATCCGCACAGGCTTTCCTGGCACCCTAGGGGAAGCAGACATCAGACAGGGGCACGGGCAGGGGAGGGGTGGGCCTCGAGGGATGAGGGTTTGGGGCTCGGGTCGACAGTATGCAACCCAAGATCGGGAGGTGGCTGGTCAGTGGTCTCCAGGTGTCATTCAAGAGAAAACCCAGCCCCCACCCCTAGGCCACACTCCCTCCTGATTCTGGTTCAGTGCTAGGGGGGGGGGACCCTGAATGGGAGGGCTCTGGGGTTACTGCAATCTGCTTCTTGAGCTGCTCTGCCTCCTGCCGCAGTTGCTCCATCTCTCCCATGGCCGCCAGGTCAAGGAGCTGCGCCTGCTCCTGCGGGGAACATGGGCTGGTCATTGGGGAACTTCCAAACACCCTGCCCCGGACTCCTCAGGAGGGCTGAAGCCCATGCCAAGAATGGGGAGATAAATGGGGTACCCATCCCCCCTCCCTCCCTGGGTCCTCAATATCTGGAGTCCTGTGCATTCACTCCTACCCCTGCCTGAATGCTTCCCCTACCCCCACCCCCCAAGGCCTCAGTCCCAGAGCACAGAGCCCACCAGCCCCCTCTTACTTGGGCTCTGGCTGGATCTCTCCCGGGCTGCCCGCTCCAGTGCTCAGGCACCTTCTTACTCCCTAGCTGCAAAGCCGGCGCTCACCTGGCCCAAGGCTGCCAGACAGGTGGCCTGGCCTGGCCCAGACTAGGACCAGCAAGCGAGCTGGGGGTGGGGGTGGGCGGTGACAGTGACCAGGAGGCAAATGGAATCAGCTGCAGTGGAGGGGAAAGAGCCAACCACTCCAGAGACCTGGGCCTGCAGACTAGGGTGGGGTGAGAAGTGGGAGGAGTGGGGTGAGGGGTGGGAACCTGGCTCTGGAGAGGGGAGAGGCCCCTAGGACCCGACTGCCTGAGAGGGAGGGAAGTGGGAAGGGTGCTCTCCTGGTCTGTCTCTGAGGCTGAGAGAGGCCCATGGGATTAGAGTAAAGCTGCGAGGATTAGGTGTTGACGTTTGGAAGGGGTGCATGGGAGCAGCATCAGCCAGGGCTCCAGCACCCCCAGACCTGGCCCCCACCGGGACCAGTCCATAAGGGGGAGTATGAGTGTAGAAGGAGCCTCAAAGGTGGCCCTCAGCCGCCTCAGGGGTGGGGGGAGCACAGGGAGGTGCAGTCAGGAGCTGAGATTAGAGGGGGGCTGATCTGGATAATCCTACTTCTGAACAAACCCCAACCAGCTGCCCTCAGGTCTGATCCTGGAGCGGGGTGGGGAGAGGTAGAGGGGATCCCTAGAAGATGGTTGGGCTGCCTATTACCTTGGGGGGAGGAATTAAGGGAAACCCCATCCTCTGTGCCCCTGACTCATGAGGTCCTGCTGGGGCTGTGGAGGCAGGAGCCAGAGGGGCCTGGTTGCCCCAGCTGAGCGGAGGACAGGGAACAGCTGCCAGGCTGGGGTGCATTTGCATGAGGGGAGCAGGTGGTGAGATTTCCCTGACAAATCTCAGCTTGAGCACCCTACCTCCCTCGGGAGGCCCAGAGACACCTGCCTCCTCCAGGCCAGCCCCAGCCACCTGACCGCACAGGCACAGAACCTGAAGACACCCAACCGAGCCCCACGGAGGGGTCTGAATGTTCTTTATTGCGCAGGCTGGGGTGAGGGGGACCAGGCAGCCCCGCCCCCTCCTTGTGGAAAGTAGGCAGTTCTGTGCCCTCTGCCATTTCTGCTCAGGGAGCCATGATATCCCCAGTCAGTGGGGCCAGGCCTGGGAGCTCTGGGCTAGTCAGTGCAGTGTCCTTGGAAGCCTGGCCTGGGCTGGACCCTGGGCCCCAGATGGTGGGAATGCACGGACAGCAGTCGATGTTGGGCTCCGAATGTTCCCCGGAGCCCTCCGCATGTCTGGCAGTCACATCCTTGGGGGCTGGGACAGCCCCTCACAGCTCCTCCCGGACCCGAGGGGGCTTCCCCGCTTTGCCTTGGACCCGCTGCAGCCTGGGGCTGGGGGGCTCTGGGGCAGGGCCTCTGCTGGGCATTTTCTCCTCCTCCTCCTCCTCTTCCTCGGTCTTCTCGGATTCCTGCAGCAGCGCCTTGGCCTCCGCCCACTCCTAAGGGTGGTGGAAGAGACTGGCCCCATGAGCCGCAGCCCACCCTGCCCCAAAGACCCCTGCTGGGGGCCGGTCAGTTCATTCCCCTGGCCCACAGGGACCCTCCCCACCCACAAGAACCCCCCACCACTCCCTCCCTCTGCAACCCCTCACCTGTTCCCTGTGCTCAGGTGCCCACGTGTGCCACAGTGCCAGAGCACAGCGCCGACCGCGGGTCACAGCCCACACACCATGGGGATTCTCCCCACCAGCGCTGAAGGCTACCAGGCGTCCGCAGCGAGGGCGAACCTGAGCCTGGAGGTGAAGGCGGGTTCAGGCCCGGCAGGGCCCTCTCAGAGAGCTTGGCCTTTGCTCTTAATGGCAAGGGGGGTCAGTGGGCAGGAGCTGCATTGAGTGGGTCCACTCTCTCATCCATTACTCAGCACTTAGTCTCCTCATCCCCTGCCCTGGGTGCCCTGGATTTTCAACCCTTTGGGCCAGTGTGTGGCGCAATCCGAGGCTTAGGGTGCCAGGCCAGAACCTCAGACAGGTGTTTTGCACCCCAAGGAGGATGGGCACTACCGGCATCTGGGTTGCTCGGGTGGGTCTCTAGGACTCAGAATTGACTTGCTGGCTGGCGTTTGAAATGTTATTTGAGCTATGGACTCCTTCCATGATCGGTATGGAAGGAGAACTTGGGTTATATAAAAAAAAAAAAAAAAGAATTGGCAGCAATGGTTTGGTTTTGGGTCTGGGGGGCGAGGGGAGGACGGGAGGAGGGAAGGTCATCGGGTAAGACAGAGCGTCACCAAAAGCTCACTGCCAGAGTCGGTTCTGGCTCCTTGTGACTTCACAGGACAGAGTAGAACGGCCCCTGTGGGTTTGAGACTAACTCTTGATGAGAGTAGAAAGCCTCTTCTTTCTCCTGCAGAGCGGCTGGTGGTTTTGAACTGTTGACCATGCAGTGAGCAGCCCAACGTGTAACCCACTCTGCCACCAGGGCTCCTCACGACACAACATTAGGCAAATAGGAACGACTATCCCTCTCCATCTCCCAATTCTAGACCCTGGTTTCCACCTGGAACATTCCCCGATGCAGGAACAGGGAGAAAGCAGTCCTATCAGCTAACATTTAAGAGCTGTTTATTTTGCTGGCCTCAGCTCTCTCTTTTGGTCTAATCTACTCTAGACAGTAATCCTTTAAAATCGGCACTAGTGTTAACACACACACACACACACACACACACAAATAGAACCTCAGGCAGGTGAGCAATCAAAGCTGCACTAGGGGCCAGCAAACCCAGCAGTGCTCCAGCCCCATGTCCATCTTGCTGTGGGGAAGGGGTATTTCCAAGTTCCCTACATCCTCGGAATAGGGACCTGGCTTTCCTGGAGGGGCCCTGCCGACTGCGCTTCAGCCCCATCTCCTTCGGGGTGCAGGCCCACACCACCCAGAGGACTGAGAGGCCAAGAGAGCCCACTGGTGGCCCCTGCACTCAGAGGCTGGTAAGGAGGGCTGGAGACCCCGAGGGGAGAGGGTTTAGGTGGCCCCAGCCATTTCCCTGCATTTGCCTCTGGGAACCTTCTGTTTTGAATCCTGACCCCACACCTGGCTCCCTGTTACATGTCCCCCGCCCCCACCACTCCACGTACCGTGACCGTCAGCGCGTTGGGCTCCGTGAAGAACAAGTTCCCACCTTGGAAGTCATCGTTGAGGTAGAGGATTCCACTGGGCGGGAGCAAGACAGGAGGTGGTGAGCCCCCCAGCTCAGGCCTGCTGTGGCGGGGGTGGGGGTGGCCCTCTCTCTGGCCATGTGTCTGGCGCCTAGCAGGGCAGCTGCCCACCTGTAGTCACGATAGGTGTAGGCTGGGGGCTCCTGCCAGCACTCTCCGGTATCCGGGTCCAGGATGCAGTTGTCCGCGTGCACGGGGTGACTCAGGTCCATGCGTTGCTCTTGCTCTCCTGTCAGGCAGAGGGGCTTTGTCCAGGGCCTCTGTGCCCACCCACCGCCCCCAAGGACTCACACCGCCCACCGCTCCCAGGCCTGGCAGAGCAGAGCAGTAAGGGGCTCCTTGGGAAAGGGCTGAGGGCGGCTTGCGGTTACCGGCTATGGCGCTGCGGCACACCAGGTGCGTGAAGGAGAGGTGCAGGGGCCGCCCCGGGGAGAAGTAGGCCTCTGTCACTGCCCGCGAGTGCTCACTCGCTTCCAGAAGCAGCTTAGCACCCTGAGTGCTCACGGCCCCAGCCCGGGCCAGCTGCAGGGGTGAAAGGAAGAGCAGGCCATTGAGCGGTGACCTCCACATGGGGAGGCAGCCCCCTCCCTCAACCCAAACTGTTCCTTCAACCATGCAGACCCCGGGTCCTCAGTCCTGGACGTGGATCTCAGGCCCAGGACTCCTCCACCCCTGCACACCCAGTCCTGGGGCCTCCTCTCACCTGCACAGCCTTCAGCACCGTGAGCCCCTCGAAGTGCTCGTGGCGGGTGTGAGGGGAGCGGCGGCCTTGGTAGCCCGACCTGGCCCCAGCCCCAGCTGCATCCTACATGGGAAGGAGTTATCTCCGAGGCGCTGGCCCCAGGTGGCTCTGCCATCTTCCCTTGGCCGCCCACTGCTGAGGGGGCCAGGAGCGCTCAGTGCCTGCTGTGGGCCCTGCCTGAACTGTCACTCCAGTCTATCCACTCGGGACAGGGCTGGGGCAGGGAGACCTTGACCATCCATCCCGGACTGCCACATCAGCTCAGAACAGAGGCAGTCTCTAGAAACCGACCCCGAACAGGGAGCTTGACTGTCAGGGCAGGTCCTGGCAGGAAGGTGGGGAAACAGCACCTGCCGGAGCATCCCTGTCCGGTCTCTTGCACGTGGCACCTTCTTGGTGAGGCCAGAACCCTGTGGCTTCAACTGCCTCTTGACACCGAGTCCCAACACGGGGCTAGTATCTCCTGAGTGACTCCGTATTTGGACATCTAGAACCAGGAGCACCGCCTCCCCCACTTCCCTGTACCTATTTGAATCTCAGTAAAGGTACCGCACACAAACCCATCTGTGAGAGACCGGTCAGTTGCCTACGTCACCCAACCTATTTTCAGTCGATCCTTAAACACGTGTGTACACACCCAGGTTCTGTTCTAGGCCCTGAAGATAGAACTACAAACAAGAACAAGAAAAAAAAGAACCACGAACAAGAAAAGGTCCTTGCTCATATGGACCTTGTATTTTGAGATAAAAGCTGAAAGGAGTAAATAAGTAGTGAATCATGGTGAAAAATGCTACAAAGAACATTCTAACCGGGCTTTCAGCTCGTGAGACTCAAACAGGGTCAGGGGCGGATCATTGGGGAGGTGACATCTAAATGGGCACTGAAGGATGCTCTGGAGTCACGTGAGATTTGCAGAGGAAACAGCCATTGCAAAGGGCCTGGGGTCAGCATCAACTGAGTACGTGGTTGGTGTCAGGTGCTGCCTGTGTGCAGCATAAAGCTTGGTCGAATGGGCCCTAGCTTAGTACCGTCAAGTCCAGTACTTGGGAGTTATCCTGCACTCTTCTCACCACCGTCCACACGCAATCCTTACATTTGATCTCTCTTTGATATCCGCCCTCTCCGCTCCATCCTCTTAAAACGAAGGCCTGACAGAAGGCAGCGGTACTCAGGCCTTACTCCAAGTCTCCGCCATGTCTGTCCCATCTCTCCCAGGGCATTCTGCACACTGCCACGAGAGTGCTCCACCTAATTAGGGAGCCCAACGTCCTTCCCACAGCGGACAGCCTGCCACGCCTCTCTCCCAGAGTGACTCAAAGCAGAAATGCGGCCACCGGGTCAATTCCGACTCTTAATGACCCTACAGGACCGGGTAGAACTGCCCCTGTGGGTTTCTGAGACTGTCACTCTTCACGAGAGTAGAAAGCCTTGTCTTCCTCCCTCAGAGCAGTTGGTGGGTTAGAACTGCTGGCCTTGGGGCGAGCAGCCTAACAGGTAACCCCCAAGCAGCAGCAGGGCACAGGGTTTGAGTTGCCTGCCTTCAGGTGGAGGAGCCTGGGGGTGAAGTGGGTTCAGCATGTGCTCAGCGAATGGGTGCAGGCTGCATTGTTGATGCTGTCAGGTGCCAGTGAGCCGGCCCACGGCAGCCTTGTGCACAACAGAATGAAGCCCTGCCTGGTCCTGCGCCGTCCTCGCTGAAGACGTAAGCTTCCTACCCGTGTAGGCAGCCTGGTGAGTGTGGCTTATTCAATCCGCACTAAGGGAGCCATCAGCCTCCTCAGGAAAGGCATCTGGGTGGCTGCCACTGACCAAATCTCAGCTAACCAAGGGACCCTTACCCAAAAAGCACCTATTGGGGAGGGGGGCCTTCATGTTGTTTGCTTTGTTGCTTCTATCACTTTCTCGTCGAATTCCTTTGTAAATAAAATCCACTCGCTGTGGCTACATTCAGAGAAGGAACTTGTCCATACCTGAGGGGCAGCTGCAAGGACAGTCCCAGCTAGGGAGGGTGCAGGCCAAGAGCCCAGAGGTCCGTCCCTGCAGCCAGCCCTGCCACCCGGCAGCAGCCTGCTTTACTCACAGTGGCCAGCTGCAGCAGCAGCCCACACTCGGCGGGGGTGAGCAGCCCGTCCAGCACGGCTCGCTCAGAGCCGTTCAGCTGGCCCGCATCCTGGGTCAGGCTTACTCCCTCTAGGAGAAGGGCATCTGAAAAGAAGGGCAGGCTGAAGGTAGTCGGACATCCTGAGGGCAGGCCCAGCCGTACCTGGTAGCCCCCAGGCCCTCTGGTTCCTGCTTCCCACCCTCCCAGAAACTCACCCTTCCAATGGGTCAAGGGGCTTGGCTGCGGAGGCTCGTGGTCCCAAGGCCTCTTCTCCTGATCCTCTCTCAGGAGCGAGAGACACGCTCAGTGGATGCCCAGAGCAGGATAAACCCACCCTCCCCAGAGGCAGCTCCCCTGCGCCACCCTCCACCCACTCCCCCTGTCCCACCTTCCACCACGGAGCATCTCCTACCTGAGCTTTTCTCTCAGTGCCTCGGGGACAACAGCTGCCGGTGTCCAGGGATCCTGGGAGATGGTCAGAAAGTTCCCATCACCTACCATGCTCAGCCCTGGGGGATCCCTGACGTGAGACTCTGATCAAATCACATAAAGGTTCCCTTCTACCCAAAGGGGAAGGCCTGGACTATCAGGAACTGGGGCTTTGGGTCAAACTCTGTAATAATAATCATTAATGCTAAAAACCACAGTAAAACAAAAATAAATAAAACAAAACATAGCTTACAAAAGGGCTTACTAAAAAAAAAAACAACAAAAGGGCTTACTATTTGTCTGATGCTAGTCGAAGAGCCATGGATCCCTGGTAGTGTAGAGGGGTACTTGTCGGGCTGCTAATCGCAAGGTCAGCAGTTCAAACCTACTCGCTGTTCCTCCAGAGAAAGATGAGGCTGTCTGCTAAGCCTCAGAAGCCCCATGCAGCAGCTCTGTGCTGTCCTACAGGGTCACTAAGACTTGGCTCAATGGTGGTGGGTATGGTGGGGTCCTCTCAGAGCTCTTACCCAGAATGAATGGAATGGATCACGTAATGGCCACAAGAGTTGGGAAATAGAGACTATCAGTGTGCCCATTTAGAAGTCGAGGCCTCTCAGAATGTCAGTGACCGACTGGGGAAGGATTTGAACCAGCTCAATGAGTCTAGACTCCATATTTTTCCAGAGTCTCAACAGTGTTATTTCTCGTCTGGCTCCCCACGGGGAGCCACGTTGTGATTGGAGGACCCTAAGTTCTCTCCCTGGGGCCCTCAGAGGCAGCCGCCTCCAGGTTCACTCCTCCCTCCTAAAGGGAGGCCAACACCAGTGCCAGGAGTCCGTCCACGCTGCAGGCCACGACCCTGGCCTTGCCAGGCACCGGTGAGCCTCTAGGGCGGCAGCCCCTGCAGTCCAAAAATATTCCATTCTCTTAACCGGTGGCACTCAGCCACTGAAAGAATGTTTGACTGGCATGGCCCAGGGGGTGCTGTCAATCCTACTGCGTGAGGCTAGAATGCTGGCAACTCTTGTCATGCAGAGAGCACCCACCCACAGCCTCCTCCACTGGATGCCCACAGAGCTGTTGGGCCCCCAGAGCCCTGAAGGTGGGACCCATGGTGGGTTCTGTCCCTGCACAACTGGGACACCTGCGTCCCTTCCCAGCCCCACACCAAACCCAAGCCAGGCCCACTGCCATCAAGCCCCTTGCAGCACGACAGCAATCTTAGAGGGCAGGGCAGAACTGCTCCATGGGGTTGGGAGACCGCTCACTGGCCTTCCGGCTGACCACAGGGTTTCTGATGGTTGTAGTTGTATAATCTGTTGTCAATCTGAGACGATTAAGAGTGAAGGGATGGAGTTTAACCTGTCAGTCAGGTCTGGCTTGATGACCTCAGTTGGAGGCGCTAAGGAGATAAATAGCTTGCTGGAGGCGGACACGCGCACACTCCCTGTGAGACATTCCTGATGATGAGCCTGATGGAGCTATGCTGATGGCAGCCAGGACCCTGAAGCTTGAGGAGCCACGTGGAGACCCATGCCAGCACTGAGATCCTTCCCCGACACTATGTCTTAGAAAACTCTCCATCCCCTGGCCTGGGATCTTCCTGCATTTGGCATCATTGCATGTGTTTTGTGAGTCTGAAGAGGGCTTTATAGCTTGATATCGGATATATGAGCATATCGGACGTATCAAGACTTATATATAGACTTGATCTGGACTGGGCTGGGATATTGTCTCAATATTCAACCACTCTTGTATACAAAGCTCTTATTTATACACATATGAGTGTCCATGAATTTGTTTCTCTAGTCTACCTGGACTAACACATTGACCTATCAGTTGGCAGCCCAGTGCTTAACCCACTGTGCTACCAGGGCGCCTTCCAAGCTCCACAGACTGTGTGCGAGCCAGATGGCTAAGGCATGGGAAAGTCTGCTACAAAACGCAGTGACAAATGCAGCCCATTCTTATTATCTCCCCCCTTGGCAGTGCTCAGGGGCGAGAGGGGTGTGACAGGACAAAAGGTGGGGTTCCTTACAGGATCCTGGAAGCTGGTCCCCAGGTGCTCCATGGCATAGTAGAGCTGTCTCTTCTCCCCCAGGGATCGCAGGATGAAGCTCTGGATGTCCTGAACAGAGGGGGTTGGATGACAGGGAGAAGACGAGAGACAAGAAGTGCAGTGTGTGCGTGTGTGAAGGGGTGGGCAGGAAACTACCTGCCCCTAAACGCTTCACGATGCCTTTGGATTCAACGTCCCTTCGCTAGCAGGTGCAGAGCGGACGTGTGTGTGTCTGTGTGCGGGACGGAAGGCAGAAATGAGGTGGAAGGGAGAAGAGTGGGTATGGCAGGTGACTCCGAAGTAGGATCTGAAGTGGGGAGCAGGAAGTGGAGACAGATTTGGGATGTGGGATTAGAGACTAGGGTGCTCAGGGAAGAGATGGTACTGTGAATTCAATTGTGTCCCCCCAAATATGTGTTGGAATCCTAGCGTCTGTAGCTCTCACCCTACCCATTCAAGCTGTACGCTGGGCAGATCATTAGAGAAGCGGGCTTATATGAAGGAGAGTGTGGCATCAGGAGTGGAGGAAGGCTTATTAACCATCTGTGGTATGCAGATGACACACCTTGCTTGCTGAAAGGGAAGAGGAATTGAAGCGCTTGCTGATGAAGGATTGCAGCCGTCAATGTGGATTAAAACTCAACGTAAAGAAGACCAAACTCCTCACCATTGGACCAATAGGGAACAGCATGATAAATGGAGAGACGGTTGGCATTGTCAAGGATTTTGTCTTGCTTGGATCCACAATGAATGTCATGGAAGCAGCAGTCAAGAGAGCAAAGGACCCATTGCATTAGGGAACTCTGCTGCATAAGACCTTTATAGAGCATTGAAAAGCAAGGAGGTTACTTTGAGGACTAAGGTGCACCTGACCCAAGCCATGGTGTGAGATGCATGAGAAAGTTGGACACCGAACGGCTCCTGAAGCTTGATGCATTTGGATGGTGGTGCTGGTGACGAAGATCGAAAGTACCATGGACTGCCAAAGGGACAGACACATCTGTCTGGGAGGAAGTAGGGCCAGGGTGCTCCTTAAAGCTAAGGGTGGGAAGACTCCGGCTTACATACTTTGGACATGTTGTCGGGGGAGACCAGTCCCTGGAGAAAGAATCATGTTTGGTAAAGTACAGGGACCCTTTAAAGAGCTAGACTGACACCACGGCAACAACAACGGAACAATGGTGAGGCCGGTGCAGGACCGGTCGGTGTTTCCTCCTGCTGTGCACAGGGTCACTGTGGGTCAGAACTGACTGGCTGGCACCTAACGATGACCAACAACGTATCTGTGGATGTCAGCTACGGTAACACCGTGACTTTACATCGGGTCAAATGTGTTCAGCTAACATAATGTCAATTCTGCTGAGACTGTGCCAGTGTAGGGCGGATCCTAAACCTAATCACTTCTGAGCTCTTGAAAAAAACAAAACACAAACGAGTAGCTACTGAGGCATTCCCACACAGGGGAAGACAGACTTCACGTGAGCATCTTGTGCAAGCTAAGGAACTAAGAACAGTGACTGACCAGGGAGGAACCAACAGAGCTGAGACCCTGATTTAGATGTTGAAAGTATTTCTGTTCTTTAAACCCATCCGTTTGTGGCATTTGTGCTACAGTCAAAACACCCGGCCCAAGCACACTGCCACCGAGTTTATTCCAACCCAGAGTGCTCCTCCCTGCAGGGGGTTCTGTGAGAGCCTGTAGCTGGTGAGTTTGAACCACCAACCGTGTGGTTATCCACCCAATGCTTATCCCACAATGGCACCAGGTAAAGATGCAAGCAGGACCGGATGTGGGAGTGGGTCCAGATCCAGATGCAGGTCCAAGCCAAGGTCTCAACTATATTTGTTGGATGTAGAGTTACTTCACAGGGGACGTGTGGGGCGGGGGTTACCTCTCTTGGCCCAAGGCCGGGTCTCGGCTCTCCTAGCTGGGCCTGGTACTGTTCCAGGGCCTTCTTGGCAGCCTCATCCTCAGGGTAGAAGAGCAGGACACTGAGGACATTTTCCACAGCCTGGGTCAGATTCCCCACTGGAGATGGAGTACCAGTGGGGAAGGGGGGCGGGAAGAGACAGCAATGATCCTTAGACAGAGGCAGAGCTGGAGAAGACAGATGGTCTCCCCAGCACCAACCAGTTCCAAGAGTCCCTCGGCCCTGCCCACCTGACAGGCATGTTCATCAACTGCTTTTTTTCAAAAGCTTACTCAAACATACCTTAGCAGAACAGAGTTCAGAGAGGCAGAGGAGAGGAGAGCACAGAGGCAGGGGAGAAGCAGAAAGTCAGAAGCAGCCCTGGGAGCCTCTCTTGAGCTTTTCCCAAGGAGGAGAGCCATGGAAGTCAGTCCGCTGGGCACCTGACAGGAAGCTACAGATCCTGAGACAGGTGGGAAGGATGGAGACAGCAGGCTCAGGATGATGGCAGGGGCAAAGCCTCCCTCCCCACAGTGCCTACCCCAGTGGCCTCCAGAGCCCACCATTCTGTAACTGACCCTGAGCGTAGGCCTCATGCAACCACCTCAGCTGGCTGGGAAGGAAGTCTGGGACAGGGGAACTTCGACCAGGACGTGTGGCTGTGTCCCTGACACAGCGCTGCCGGCATTGCAGGACCCGAATCCAGTGCCCTGCAGAGGAAGCACGTGAGCCAGTACGCTTGTGTTGTGGCTTGTGTTGTGGGGGGCTCCTCCCTCTGGTACTCTGAGCTCCTACCTGCAATGGCTTCATACAGGCCGCCCTGGCTCCAGGCGCCATCCTCCTCCTCCTCCACGTCCTCCTGCTGCTGCGCCTCAGGCCCCTCACAGTCAGCCCTGCAGCGCTCCATCTGGGACAGGCTCTCCTGCAGGGCTTCTTCCAGCCTGGGCAGTGCCAGCCCTGCCTCCTGTCGCTCCAGCAGTTCCAGGCCTGCATCATAGGCTGCCTATAGGGGAGGGGCCCTCAATTACTTGAGACCCTGGGTTGTGCCTAACAGGGTTGGGGAGTGGGTTGTGGGTTTCATTTGGGGCATGAATTCTGTCCCTCTTCACCTTCGGGAAGGCAGGGAGGGGTCTCAGAATCAGAACCTTCCAACACTAGCCTTTAGACATGCGAAGGGAAATAATAGCCCCAAAGAGGGACTCCCCAGCCAGGGTCCAGATGCCCAAGCTGCCTAGGGCCAAAAGCTGGGGGGGTGGGGGTGGCGCTGAGGGTCTCACCCAATGTGGGGGTGTCTCCAGATCCCGAAAGCTCTGGGGCCGGACTCCCGACATGCGGCGGTACTTAGCTATGTCCTCCCGCATCTGCAAGTGTGTTGGGTTGGCTACAAAGAACGTGTGTGCTGCGGCTGCGGCCAAATCCAATTTCTTCAACTGTGGGAGGGATGGGGGGGCGTCAGTGTCCTGAGGTGGGGCTGCTAGACCACTGCCCCACCACCAACAGCCTCTGCAGACCTAGAATTCACTCTGGGCTGCCCCAGGAGCCTGGGGGGTGGGCCTGTCAGTCAGAGCAGGCCCCACTCTCCCACCTCCAGGCCGCCTAGAAACCAGCGTGCTCAGGGGTGTGGTCATCAAGGTGTGGGGCCATGGGCGGAAGGGCTCAGGGTCTCAGTTTGAGTGACAACGTGGTAGGGATGGCTACAAGTGAGTAAGCAGCTGTTTAGGACCCTGAGGTGGACATAGCAGCCCCCGCCCACCACCAGCCACGTAGGCAGCTGCCGCTAATACCAGCAGTCCCGCAGCCCGGCCCTCCGTGCGCTCGCTCCCGTCTCCCAGGGCTCGCTCCTGCCCCAGCGGAACCGCCCCTTTCAAAGGTCCCACCCACCGCCGGCTCCGTCCCCACCCCAGAGGGACGCTCACCCCCACGCAGCCTTAAGTGAAATTTCAGGTCCCACGATCGCCCCCCGTCGACCTGGGCTCCCGCGCTCCCTAGGCTCGCCCGTTGCCCACCCCCCGGGGGTTCTCTCCAGGGTCTGGAGGACCCACACAATGCAGAGGGCCGCGATCGCCCAGGGCCCGATGCCCACCTCCCGCCCTCGGGGGGCGGGCTCCCCGCACCTGGTAGTAGGCCCTCTGCAGGTAGTTGTAGGGCTCCCGGCGGCGGAAGGCGTCCCGGAGCGCGCGCCCCACGCGCAGCCGCGCCGCGCCCCCGGGGCCCAGC